GTGTGTATATGGGTCTGCATGGTGAACAGATATGATCCTAGACCGATTGGAAAATAAAATTCAATCCGTTGAGAAAAACAAACGTTTTGCTTCGGCTTATTTCTTTTCGATAGGTTGTTCGAAAGAGTGGAAGGCAAATCGTGACTAGGTGAAAGGAAGAAAAAGTGGAAAAGGAAAGAGAAAGAGAAAAAGAAGAAGAAGAAGAAGAAGAAAGATGCTTCTTCTATTCGGACGAATAATCAGGAAAGCTCGCGTAATCATCTCGAGTCGATCGAGCAGCTTCCATCTCCTTTATCTTCTTCCGTTTTCTTTCTTTTTTTTCCTCTTTTTATCGGCCTTTTTCGTCTGGATGCTTCTCCACTCTTGACTCCGACCTTTAAATCAATGCACGCGATGCATTCCGCTAACGATCTTTTCTCTCCATAAGTAAAAGAGAGACTCTTGGATTAAGTACCAAGAGTGGTGGAATATTTTTCTAAAGAATTTTTTTCTAGATTATGTTAGACGTCATCAAATATCTACATTCACTTGGTCAATAATTTGTTTTTTATACATAATTCAAATATTCTTCACTAGTATTTTGTAAAATAAATGAGTCAGTACATATATATTTTTTTTTTAGTTAACAATTTGTAAAACAAATTGTCTGATATTTTATAAATATTTTTAATCATTTAATTATAAAATAAATTCTTCAATATGAATAAACAATAATTTATCGGTATTTTAAATAAATCCTCACTAACAGAATTGCATTATAGGATTATGTATTCAACGCATTCTGATATTTTATCATAAATATTGTCACTTCTTGTATTAATCGTTTCAATACCAACCATCATATCACATAATGATATTTCATTATATTATAAATAACAATTTATTTTAAATACAATCCTAACAAATACTAACCGTTACAAAATTTATTTCACTTGCTTATCCATGTATCGCTAAATAAATTTAAGTGTTCTGAAATGTTGGATAATTGACGTGACATTGATTATATGCATGCACGAAAGTAGGAAACGTTTGTGAATTCACCGGGTGAATACGAAAATGCCTGTCTACTTTCCATATTTATGTGTAAGAGTTTAGAGGTGGGAAGAGAAGATTGGGTTGGATTGGGGTGATATTCTGCATTGGTGTATCAACCCTTGGAAGGACCTCTTTGGAGACAACCTAACCCTTCTACGGGAAAGGGTTCCGACCCTTCAACTAACCGAATCCTCATTCCCTTCCTTTCGTTCCTTGTCCCTCACCCCTACCTCTTCCATTTCACTCTTTGATACGAGTGAAGCTTCGACCAAACTCTAGAACGCAAACAATATTATCGTAGACGACGGCACGTCGAATTATTGAAACCGTTCGTAATTCGATTCGTCGAAGGAAATTAATGCCCTCTATGTCTCTTCCTATCTATCCATCTATCAATAAAAAAGAAAAAAAAGAAGGAGAAAGAGAAAGGGGAAGATGAAAAACGAAGTTACTCATACGTCGACGAGATTTTCAATGAAATCGGAGGAACTCGATACCGGGTGACACTTCGTTTTCGATTGTAAAGCAACGAGGATTCAGGGATCCAATAATGATACTCGAAAGCTTCCTAACACACATTCCATGGTGTTTTACCGCGAAATTACTTTTGTTGAAAACGTGTCGCTTTTGTGAAAGTCGAGAGATTTTCGAGCATCGAAATAACGAGAAAGGATATAAGAACGGGAGCAAATGCGAAATAGAGAGAGAGAGAGAGAG